GAAATAAAATGGATTTATTTCCTTACTCCTACTCCTTACTCCAGCTTACTCCAGCTTACTCCATGTATTGTAGACCAGCCTTTAGGCTTAAGTTGAAAATTCTACTTCAGTACCTCGATAGCGTAAATTGGTATGATAATGTAACTCTGGCGGTGCGTGTAGCTACGTATCATTAATGAACAGTACTGGCAATATTTCGCACAAGAAATAGTCATCATAAAACTGACGCATACAATTGATAAATATGTGCACAGATGGCGAATACAAGTGGCGAAATAAGAGGTTTACTTATAAAATGCACACGTAAATGTAAGCTTAAATATAAAATTCTACATCAGTACTTTGATAGCGCAAATTAGTATGATAATGCCACATTGGTGCCGTGTGCAACTACGTATTTAAGTTAATGAACAGTATTTTCAGTGATTCCGTTTTACAAAAAGGGTAAGCTGATCTCGAGAAAGATTATTCCTAACCGTATTGCAAGAATTAAGTGTTGTGTTGGTCAAAGCGAAATTGGTTTTCGCTTATAAGTAGATTTAAACTGCATTTTGCAAAAATCGCGTGACAAAATAACAAAATAATTATTATAATTGTGATGTGTTAAAAGATCAACGATAACTAAAGGCATTTGCACATTAACTTTAAAGGGAACTGTGATCATCATGTGGAAACTAATAATATTATGTACGGTGGGCCTGGTAGCCGCCGAAAGGGCTACTTTTGACAATTACAAGGTTTTCAAAATCACTCCAACTACACAGCCACAGGTTGACTTTCTGAAGCAGTTGGTAGATGTTCCTGATGGAGTGAGTAAATCTTTCAAGTTTTCAAAAACAAATGAAAGCAAATTAATACATTTTGTGATTTACTTTATGTAAATGTCTATTTTTCTTAAGAGATTTGTAACATTTGAACATTAACCATTTTAGCTGAAATTCAAGAAAATAAAGTTTATAAAAATAGCATATTATAATGTACACAAATTATAAAACTTATCAAATCAGTTTTATCTACGAATTTACCAAATTATTTATTAAATAACACTTAGAACATTTATACAAAAACAGACAAATATACGACTCATTTCTTTGAATTAAAATGTTATTGTTAAATATTAAAAATTAAACGTTTACAGTTTTCCTTCTGGTACTCACCGTCCGTGAACAAACAAGCGGAACTTATGGTAGCTCCGCACAAGTTGCCCGAATTCTATGAAATAATGGCGCAGATCCAAGTACCCTATGAACTTTTTATTCAGAATGTTCAGTCATTAATCGATCGGGTGACACCCGCGAGTATATCGACGGGATTCGATTTTAGAAACTACCACACGCTCGATAAAATTTACCAGAATCTGGATGACCTAGCTCAGCAGTATCCCAATAAGGTACAGACTATCGTGGGCGGCAAATCGTACGAAGGACGCCAAATCAAAGGCGTCAAGGTTTCCTTTAAACCCGGCAATCCCGGAATCTTCCTCGAGGGTGGTATTCACGCCAGGGAATGGATCTCTACTGCGACTGTTATGTACATTTTGCATCAATTACTGACCAGCACCAACCCGGAGGTCAGGGCTCTGGCTGAGAGCCACGATTGGTACATCTTCCCCTCGTTCAATCCCGATGGATATGTGTATACGCACACCACGGTATGCTTCGTTATTATGCCTTTATGACGTCATATAAAACTTGTTTACCAATTTATAAACTAATCTCAATTACCCAAATATTTTTTATTTATTTCAGAATCGATTGTGGAGAAAAACACGTAAGCCATATAGTTTTGGCTGTTACGGCAGCGACCCCAACAGGAACTGGGGCTACAAATGGAACGGTAAAAATTAATTGTGTGAATAGAAAACTATAATAAAATTAAAAGTTATAAATAATTTAAAGAACCGAGATTATTCTGCAAGGTTCACCGGACTTATGAGATTAAGATCCGCCCGAGATGTTTATAACAAATATGTAATATATAAATATATTTATATATCGATCATTTATTTTCAGCTGGAGGATCTAGCAGTTTCCCATGCGCCGAAACCTACAACGGAAATTCACCGTTCTCCGATATTGAGACAAAGAGCATGTCCGAATATATCGGAACCATTTCCAACAAATTTTACGCGTATATCGCATTCCATAGTTACTCGCAATTATTGCTGATCCCGTACGGTCACACTAAGGCTCATCTTGATAACTACAATGATCTGGTGAGTAATTTTAATTGTAAAACGAATACAACTTCGAGAAACATATGATCAAATAATTATCTGTATGAAAATTAAAGAACATTAAATTGAAAATAATTTCTCTCACATTATTATTATAACTTATTTATAATATTATTATCTATATTGCGAGCCACACATAATTATATATTGAGAAATATTAACTTTCAAATATAACAATTTGGATTAATAATAATTAATTCAATTTCATAATGAAACAAGTTTAAAGCGACTTACTTTTACTTTATCATTTATCATTGTTATTAATAATTATTTATTTTTAAAAGGAATAAGATATTATTTTGATTAATTCGAATAATTATTTATGGGAACTGATAGAACATAACAAGTTTATTTAATTTTTGCTTTTTTCAGCTTGGTATTGGCAGAAAATCGATTACAGCTCTTGCAAAGAGATATGGAACTAAATTTACGGTCGGAAATATTGCCGAGACAATCTGTACGTAGAAAACTTGTTATCTATCTTGTCTTCTCTCTTTTGTTTATCGTATCAAAATCATGCTTTCTATTTTTGTTAAGTGATTTATTGTTGAGGATTTCTTTTTTCTATTAAAAGCAAATTGATGCAAAGTTAATAATATATTTTATTACATTTTGAATTTGAATTAACTGTATAAAAAATATAGTTCTTTATACTTACTGCACTTGTAAAATTATTTTTAGATGTGGCTTCTGGAGGTTCTATGGATTGGGTCAAAGGCACTTTTGGTACACCTATTACCTACACTTATGAATTGCGTGATGAAGGTCGTTACGGCTTCTTATTGCCACCTAATCAAATCATCCCGACTGGAGAAGAAACTATGGACTCTCTCATAGGCATGTTTAAAGAAGCAAAAGCACGTGGATATCCACAAAAATAATTAAGACTTGCGAAATTTCGTATACTACTGGCATATTTTTACTTGACGATCTGCTAAGTTTTAAATATTGTATAATTTATAATACAATAAATAAATCTTGATATTACTGTTCGTATTTATGTACAATGTTTCAGATTAAAGATTAAAATTTGTATGAAGATTTTGTAATCAAGTATTTTGTGAAGAAGAGCTTATTTAAGGGTTTATTTTGCATATCAGTATGAATATCTTTTGCCGATAGGTTATTTTCATAAAATTTCTCACAGCACGAACTCCAAGTTTATTTATTTTTCAAAACTTAAGTAAATATGTTCACTCAAAGATAAAAAATTAACTATTTGATGGAACGAGTTGGAACTTTACACGTGTCCATAGGTGAGTTGAAACTTTTTATTTAACGTATGACGTCTGTTGTTGAATGCACTTGTACTTCATTTCAAGAACTTTTCAAGTTCTTGTACATAAACATACAAAGATAATTGTGCAGTAGAAGAAATACAAGGTAAAGTCATTGGTTTTCAAGATAAGAAAAATATATCTATGACTTTCCATAAGTTATGTTCATAACGTTCCATATAAAGTCAGTTTGCTGATAAGTTATCTATGAATTGACGAGTGAAGAATATCTCTTTCTGTCACTTATGAATAAAATTGTAGTTGCTACTGAAAATAATTTTTTTAACGTGAAATTCAACACAACTGCAGAAATAAGCACGGGTATTGTAGACATTTAGTGAAAATCGTTTTTATTTTTGCAACAAATAGTTACTTTTATTATTACTATAATATTACTACGACAACTATACTGAAAAAATCGTATTCTTGATTTGAGAACAATATTTTCTAAAGTTTTTCTCTAATCGAATATTCTAAAAAGTTCAGAATTTTTCCCCTTTTGTTAAGAATAATATCTGAAGTGAAGAAAATATTCTAAAATACTACGTCAGCGATTATTTGACAAATGACTCTGGCGCTCACACAAGCATGATGTAATGCGCTACAGTATCAGATTTAAGAGTCATCAGTGCAAGTTTGGTCACAATCGAGTGTGTACGTATTTTCTTGTGTGAATATTTGTGAACGCAGTATTTTGCGCGGTCGAAAAGGAGCGAAATGTTTTAACTGAGCGAAGAACCAACATGAAATTTCTCGTAAAACTCGGTAAAGGCGGGAGGGAAATTTTTGAAATGTTAAAAACTGTGAATAAAGGGTCTGCTATGAAGTGTAGAATATAAATGGTAAAGGGTTTAGGCCCTAAACTTTAGGGAACCGGTTTAGAGAGAAGAGTAGGAGAGGGTCGACGACGACGCGTAAGAGGGTCGCTTTTCAACGTTACGTACTGATGAAAACATTCAAGACGTGTTCACGATTTGGTGATGTCAGACCGTCGCATTACTTAGAACGATTGCTTGAGCTGGGATTTAATAAAGGTAAAAGTGTTCGAACAATTTTGAAAGAAGGTTTAAATGTGCGCAAAGCGCGTCGTCTTCGACGCTTTCCCGCCCTTCCTTAAACCGGTCTAACTACGCTAGTTAGCTAGAGGTATATTCTAATTCGTTAGAATATTTCATTCTATTAAAGGAAAATCCCCTTATCTTTATAATATTGCAATCAGAACTTTTCGTGATTTTAATCAATTTTTAAATATACTAAAAATATATAATATTACAATCCTAGCAATATTTTAAGCGCAAAAAAATAATTGTAAGATTTATACATACAGGTATTGTAAACAAAATTTGAGATTTAATCGTGAAATACATATTTATGTTGTACAACACATGATTACACGTGCAGTAAAAACTGCTGGACAATTAAGCATAAAAATTTACTATGACACGTGTCATTGCGTTTGAATACTGAGTTACCTACGGCACGAAAAATTACACCATCACAATAATTTGTCATCCTGTTATCAAAGTACTTTGATAACAAGATGACAAATTATTGTGATGGTGTAATTTTTCGTGCCGTGGGTAACTCTGTATTTAAATGCAATGAACATTACAGCACTGGTGAATACAAGTGATCCTGTTTTACGAGAAGGTAAGCCGATATTTTTTAACAAAATTGGAAAATTGGAAGATTTAAATATTTTAAAAAATTACAAGAATTAAATTATATTTTATTGATTAATTTAAAATTAATATTTATTGATTAAAGCCTAACTGTCTGTTAAAAGATTTTTACAAGAAATACAAGTTTTTATATAAGAAAAAGACATTTTCGGTAATTCTGATAATCATAAATTAAAATTGTATGCTGTATAACACCATGAATTAAAATTAAAGGGAAACGTAGTGGCGGAATCATCATGTGGAGGACAATAGTATTGTGTTCACTTATCGGGCCGATAGCCGCCGAAAAGGCTACTTTTCACAACTATAAAGTCTTCAGAATTACTCCGACTACAGAAACACACGTTGAATTACTGCGCCAGCTAGACGAAGTTCCTAATGAAGTAAGTAAAAATCATTTGGCACAAACAGTAAATAGAAATAACAAAGCATATTAAAAATACAATAGAAACAAATGCATTCTGTCGAAAACCCATTTTTCAAGAAACTAATATCACTGAATTGATTACGTTAAAATTGCAACATAAAATTTGATTTAATTTACATAATTTGGAATTCACAAAGTTTCATAGTTTACTTATTAAATAACATTCAAAAATGGAAATGGACTAATAAACATGCAATGAATCTATAAGACTAAAATTAAATGATGATTAAGTATACAAAATTATTTATAGTTCACTTTCTGGAAAGAACCGACTTCCGTAAATACGGAAGTGGACCTTATGGTAGCGCCGCACAAGCTGCCCATATTTCACGAATTAATGGCCCAAATTGAAGCACCCCATCAAGTTCATGTTGATAACGTTCAGACACTAGTCGATCAAACGACGACCGCAAATCAGTCAACATGGTTTGATTTTGAAAGTTACCACAGTCTCTGGGAAATCTACGAGAACCTGGATGATCTGGCCAAGCAGCATCCCGACAAAGTAGAGGTCGTCGTGGGTGGTAGGACGTTTGAGAATCGTCAGATCAAAGGTGTCAAGGTTTCCTTTAAAGCTAACAATCCCGGAATCTTCCTCGAGGGTGGTAATCACGCCAGGGAATGGATCTCTCCAGCGACTGTTATGTATATTTTGCATCAATTGCTGACCAGTGTCAACCCGGAAGTTAGAGCTCTGGCTGAGAGCCACGATTGGTACATCTTCCCCGTATTTAATCCCGACGGATATGTGTACACGCATACCACCGTAAGTCTTATTTTGAATATTACATTTACCAATTTATCGATTTTAATCATCTGTATCGAAATTTCTTTTAGAATCGAGTGTGGAGGAAGACGCGTGAGCTGCATGGTCTATTTTGCAGAGGTAGCGATCCCAATAGGAATTGGGGTTACAAATGGAACGGTAAGTATTTGTATCTTTTATTAACCAAAGACTGCAACAATTAAAGAAAACAGTTATTAAAAGTTTATATTATTTTGAAAGCTCGAAAAAGTTGATGGGGTCGCAGTAAATCCGTAAACAATATTCATTATCGTATTTATTAATATTATGTATATGATTGTTATTGTATTTTGATTCTATAATTGTATTTGTAGGTGGAGGTATCTTCAACAGGTTTCCGTGTTCCGAAACTTACGCCGGAAGGGAACCATTCTCCGTTATAGAAACGAAGAGCATGTCCGACTATATCAAATCCATTTCTGATAAATTTTACGCATACATCGCATTCCATAGTTATTCACAACTTTTGATGTACCCTTATGGCTACACATATGTTCGTCTTGAAAACTACGAAGACTTGGTGAGTAATTTTAATTATAAAATAATGGTAACATATAGTTTTAGAAATATAATAACAATAAAATCATGAATAAACAGTATTAAATTAATAAAACATCTATCCCTTTTTTGTAACTACTATCGCTAATATCACAATTTACCAAAGATTGAGATTGTGTAGTTCACTACTTGAATTACGAATCAACACTAAAATCAGTGATTAAATATTGATAAGGAAATATCAAATCTCTCTGCGTACTTGTTACTAATTGATCTAATTTCTTTGTAAATCATATTTAGAGCAATCAAGTTTATCATTATTTATTTAATAAGAGTAATTGTTTTATAAGAATTTGTAACATAATTTATAGTTTGCCATTGCTTCGAAATCGGTTGAAGCTCTCAAAAACAGATACGGAACTAAATATCGATTTGGAAGTCTTGCCGAAGTAATTTGTAAGTAGAAAAATTTTAATGTATTTTACTTTTGTGTCTCTCTCTCTCTCTCTCTATCTCTTATATTTTTAAACAATTTTTTTACTATCTTGGATGATACCTTACTATTACTAAAAGTTTACTTTAATTTAACATTATAATATAAAAATGTAATCTGATATTGTTGCATTGCGGTATTAAATAATTGTTCATGTGAAAATAATATAATATTTTTCAAACTAATCTTGTGAAATTATTTTTAGACAAAACTCATGGAACTACTGCAGATTATATCAGAGGTATTTACAATAAATCTATCGTCTATGTCTATGAATTACGTGATCAAGGTAAATATGGCTTCTTGTTGCCTCCTGAGCAAATTATCCCGACTGGAGAAGAAACTTTAGATTCTCTCGTAGTTATGTTCAAAGAGGCAAAGGCGCTTGGATATCCCAAAAATGTGTCCAATTGATAATTAAACATTTTTGAAGGATAATTGCTTGTCCCTATTGGATCTGGCGCCATGTTGGCAGCACGCGGATGCATAAGTCCCAGTCTACAATAGATGATTTAAGCCCTAAGCTTTAAGAAATTGGCCAATCAATGAGTAGAATGCGCGACTGTGATTAGTCAATTTCTTAAGGCTTAGGGCTTAAATATCTATTGTAGACTGGGACTAAGGCCCGACTGGCTGGTGCCTGTTTCCAACGGTTGTCTACCAACCTATATAATCTATCTATGTATTCATTGCCTAAGTTCGTTACATCAGTCAGTCAGTCATCTCGATCTGTACTACACACACGCATTTTGTAAGACTGAATGGTGTACAGAAGATAGTGTGTCAGGTAACAATAAAGAGCGTTAATGATAACAAACTATCGTCATCTCAATTGTCCCACAATTTTTCCACGGACATTCTTTTATTTAGCACATTTTTATTAGACTAATTTTGTAATCGGTTGATAATAATAAACTTTGGTACTTTACTGTATTATTTCGTATTTCCTATGTTTTTTCCTATGCTTACATAATTGAAATCGTCTGTGTGTAACTATTCTAGGAGAAACTTGCATTTATTCTCTTAGTATTATTTTTTATATTTTATTTTGAATTAATCAAATTAAATATATTTTCCCTATTTATATTATTGACTTGCTTGTTTAAATTAACTTTCGTCGGCGCGATAAGTACTTGCGATGTGATTAAAAGTGGAGCTGTCGATCGCGTAATAACTAATCGACAAAGATAAGATCATAACTGATAATGCATGATCATCAAAGTACAAATGTACACATAATATTTATGTAAAAATATAAACTAAACGTTATTTTGAGTATAATAAGATTATACAAATGTATTCGCATAGAAATATAAGCATATTTTCAGCTGGCGTTCGTCGGTTATCTGTCAAAGCAATGAGAAATTATGAGATTCTTTCGGGACAAAACTTGATAAAGGTGTGGTAAAACCCGATCTCTTTTCGGTAGATCTATCAACGTGATTCTTTTTCTCAAACGACGCTCTTGATATTTATTGGTGTCGTGTGCACATCATGTTTAAATATAATGAACGAGCAGTGATAATAATCACAAATACTTCGTCTCGTAAAAGGTAAGACGTGCATATTTCATCGAAAGAAATGATTTTGTAAATAAAATAATAAGAATTATCTGTTAATTAATTAATCATAATATTTACTATCTATAACTTTACATTATGCTGTGAAAATTACATCCCTTCTGATGAAATTAAGAATATTAATTCATAACTACGATTTAAGTAGATTAGTAATTAATTCACGTATTAAAATGTATTATTATGTGCAGAATCATCATGTTGAAGATAATAGTGTTGTGTACGCTCGTGTGCTTAGTAGCCGCTCAAAAAGCTACTTTTAACAACTACAAGGTTTTTAGAATTATTCCTACTACGGAGGACCAAGTCAATAAATTACAACAGCTGGAAGCAATTCCCGATGGAGTGAGTAGATTCATTTACAAATACAAATGAGAAATAAAACTACCAGTAGAGATTTTTACTTAATCTTAAATTAATGCCAAAAATCTAACTTATGTAATTATTTAATTAAGACTTTAACAAAATTATTGTGATATGTAAATATAAATTAGATTTTGTAAATAAAATCTAATATATTATGTTTATATAGAAAAAACTGGGACTAGTGGTTACATACATAAATTAATTTCAGAAAAGAAAAATATATATATGTACTTAGTTATTGAATTTTACAAAATTACTAACACAAATTTGAAAAATGTGCAAAATATTTTTAACATATAAATAAGATAGAAATTATTAAATAAAAATGTAAACAGGCATAAAAACTAAATATTATTTTTTCAGTTCTCGTTCTGGCAAGAACCTAGTTTTGTAGGAAGAAATGTGGATATCATGGTGGCTCCGCACAAGTTGCCCGAATTTTATGAAATAATGGCTCAGATCGGAGTACCCTATCAAGTTTTTATCGAGGATGTGCAAAAGTTGATTGACCAAACGATGCCTGAAAATCAATCAACTTCATTCGATTTTAACAGCTACCATACTCTTAAGGAAATCTATAAAAATCTAGATGATATGGCCGAGCAATATCCCGACAAAGTGCAGGTCGTCGTAGGTGGCAAGACGTATGAGGGACGTCAGATCAAAGGCGTCAAGGTTTCATTTAAGGCCAACAACCCTGGAATCTTCATCGAGGGTGGCATTCACGCCAGAGAATGGATCTCTCCAGCGACTGTTATGTATATTTTGCATCAATTACTGACCAGTACCAACCCGGAAGTCAGAGCTCTGGCTGAGAGACACGATTGGTACATTTTCCCCGTATTTAATCCCGATGGATACGCGTACACGCACACCAAGGTAACTTTTTCTCTGTATTATTCAATAGCGTCATCTAAGTTATGACTTAAAATAATATACACAAGCTGAATTTTTTCAATTACTTTCAGAATCGATTATGGAGAAAGACTCGTAAGCCATACGGCATCTGCGTTGGAGCTGACGCAAATAGAAACTGGGACTACCAGTGGGTGTGTAAGTAAAAGTATCCCATGCAGGGAATTATAACAATCAACAAATTATCATAATATTAACCGTGATAGTAACTAAAAGTTTGTATAAAGCTTAAGATTTAATACTTACTAACATTATTACAATTCGTCATTTTTTAGCTAGAGGCCTTACCGGCCATCCATGTTCTGAGATTTATGCGGGAAATAAGCCGTTTTCCGAGATAGAGACCAAGAGCATGTCCGAGTACATCAAATCTATTTCCGACAAATTCTACACATACATCTCATTCCATAGTTTTTCGCAACTTTTGATGTACCCTTACGGTTACACGAGAGAGCACCTTGATAATTACAAGGATTTGGTAAGAAATCGTATTAATAAAAAGATATAATTTTAAAAAGATATTGACAATGAGTATAACATTTCTAAAAATATATAGCTTACGTATTATCTTTGATCTCTCAATGAGATATGCATGTCAATATTTAATAAATTATGTACAAATGTAATACATCAATTTTATCATTACTATATTACAGAAAGAGAAATTGTACTTTATTATGGAAATTTTACAATGCTTAATTTTGTGTGTACAAATATATTTAAGTAAACATATGTGCACAATATATACGAGAATATATATGTATAATTGTAATGTGTAATTGTTATATGTATATAATTTATACATATAATAATTATACAAATGTTTTCCATATTAAACGTGTTCTTAATTTAATTATTTCAGTAGATTGATTTATCTTATTATTTATATATTATGTTACGAATAATACTGTTAAACAATAATAAAAATGTTTACATAAAATCTGATTTTAGCACGCTATTGGCTTGAAATCAGCTGCAGCACTCAAAGAGAGATATGGAACTGCATTTCGAGTTGGAAACATTGCTGAGACGATTTGTAAGTTTGATTCGGATACTTTTATTTATTTTACTTATTGTGCTTGTACAGTTTCATTATTTCTTTATAGTTCTATTTCTTCATAGCTTAAACTAATTTATTTATTATTTTACCTGTTACAGTATTAAAATAATATCAAATTTTAACACATATTGTTTTAATAAACATTGTAAATTAATTTCTAGATGTGTGCACCGGAGTTAGCATAGACTATATTAAAGGCGTTTATCATACACCTATCGCATACACCTACGAGTTACGCGATCGCGGTCGTTACGGTTTTTTACTGCCTCCTAGTCAAATTATTCCATCTGGAGAAGAGACAATGGATTCTCTCATAGCCATGTTTAAAGAAGCAAAGGCACGCGGATATCCCAAAGAAAATTTGTATTGATATAATTATTTGTATTCATTTTGATATAGTGTAAGCTAGATGTAGATATATTTTTATATGAAACTTTGTCGACAAAAAATAATGATAAATTAATATTTAATTGTACCTGGCGTTTATAATTTCTTATATTTTGTGATAGTTAATATATTTTTCTACATTATAACGCTATAACATTTGAAACAATTTACATTTTTATTGCATAATAATTTTCGTCAAATACTTTTTCCAAATCTTACTGCTGTTATAATAGTAACAAAATAAATTGCAATCTATTATTATAATATTTATCAGGCATATAAACATTCTTATTTTTCAGTTTTCTCTTTATATATTTAAATATTACGTGATTCTTAAATATTATATAATATATACAAATAGTTAAAAGCTAATTTTGTGTTGATTCTGAACTTTTCAGCAAGATTTACAATTTTAGAAGATTAAGTCAATAGAAAAAATATTTTAATACTAGTAATAACGCACGTTTATAATATCTATCATTTTCAAGTAACGTGCGATTATATATGTATACAACTTTTGTATTATTAGGAAAAAATTTAATGAATTAGTTATCGTGCTTTACCAGTTTCTTTGCCATTGACTTTAAATCTTTTTTTGAAATTTTCGCTGTACTCGTATATGGTAATCTATCTAAAAATATCACTCCTGCACGTAGCTTAAAATGATCCAGCATGTTCTTTGCCACAAGATCTACCAATTCCTGTTCCGTCACCTGTACAAAAAAAATACACTAATGTATCGGGCAGATTTTATTCTGTAAACTTTTGTCTACAAAATCTCTCTTTTTCTCTCTCTTTCTCCTTCTCTCTTCGATCTTATTATACTTGATTTTAAAAAAATTTACTTTGGCGCCAGACTTTATGGTGACGAAAGCAACAGGATGTTCGTCATCTGTTGCATGAGGTACTCCTACTACTGCAGCTTCCAGTACTGCTGGATGCGATGTTAAGACATTCTCGATTTGTCCAGGAGAGATTTGATAATTTCTGTACTTTATAAGATCATTTATTCTGTATATAATGAACAATTCTCCGTCGTCATCAACATAACCGATATCACCTGAGTGCATCCATCCTATAAGTTGTTCAGAGAATTTACTTTTATATTAGATATTTGCGATAGAATTAGGTACATTTTATTCGATTTAATAAAATATAATTGATTTGGTTTGCTCGCTATAATTATATTAATCCTTATTAATTTACTGTAATGTAATTTTGTATTATTATGATTATTACGACGGATAAAATCTCTTTACCTTCCTTATCAATCGTATTTTTTGTCGCCTCGGGATTTTTGTAATAACCTGTCATAATGCTCGGTGCTTTTATACATACTTCTCCTGACTGATTTGGACCAAGTATCTTCCCGCTTTCTGGGTGCACTATCTTTATTTGCACATTCTTGCTTACTGTTCCGCAAGATCCGTATTTACTACTTGCTAGTTGCAACGTTGCAATATTACCAAGTTCCGTCATTCCTAAAAATATGAAATATATACAGACAAAATTTTACAAGATCTAAACATAATATTAATATTTTATCGCATTATAATGATATTCACCGTAACATTGCGATATCTGGACGTGTGGCAAAATACGTCTGAGACTATCCTGCACATGTGGTATAATTATTGAACCAGCACTCAAAATGATTTTCAAAGATAAAAATGAATATTCCTTTACGTAATCCGATTTGAGCAACAGACCGATCATGGTCGTGCTAAGGAAAACAGCTTGTATCTAGACAGTAAAGTGAGTATTTCAAATTTCACCAGTTCTGTTAAACATTTTTTATAACAATGTATATATATTACACAAGTATTTGATTACTATTGTTGTTTGTGTAACAGTAATGTAAAACTATTACAATTGATTATAGACTGTTACAAACGTACTAATTAAGAAAAAGAACTGATTAACAGTATCAGTAACCAATGATATTGAATCAGTGAATTGTAGCGTTCTCAAACTGATTACAAGAGTTAGTTACTGGTAATGTTCCTCAGTCGATGTCCAGTTTTAATAATCAGTTTCTACATCACTCTGAAAAACTAGTTACACAATAATTGTTATCATCGGTAACTAAATACAGATAATACTTCGTTAATACTGTAGATAATACTATAGATAACACTTAGTTAATACTTAGACAATACTGATCAGCACTTAGTTACTGATGATAACAATCATTGTCTAACCAGCAGAGTTGTAAACCGAACAGAACCATTGAAGTGTATTCGCTCTGAGAGAACGGATCAAAATTTCAATTATAAAATCGGTCCGATGCAGAGCGAATCGTTTTTGATTATGATTTAAAATGCTCCGGTTTCAAATCGGAGCATGAAAAACCGGTTTTGGAGCGGTTTCTTTATTTAAAAAGGATTTAATTTACAATATTTTAAAAGATTTACCACATTTGAGTCTTTGCCACATAGCTGGAGAGGTGGTAAATGTGCAAATATCAACAGTTCGGTTTGATTTACCTTCCAAGTTCTAAATAATTTACAAAATTCATCCGGTTTTCGGAGCGGTTTTTAAACTCGAACCGGTTCAAAACCGCTCCAAAAAACGTATTTATGCTCCGGTTTACAATCTTATTTGCTCCGTTCTCTTGTAGCATATAACTTCAATGATTCGATTCGGTTCGGTTCGGTTTACATCCCAAGTTCCAAATAATTTACTCCGTAAATTCGTCCGGTTTTCGGAGCGGTTTTTAAATTCGAATCGGTTCAAAACCGCTCCAAAGAACGTATTTTTGCTCCGGATTACAACCCTGCTAACCAGTTTTTTAGAGTGATATAGAAACTGATCATTAAAACTTGACATTAACTGAGTAACATTACCAATAGCTGGCTCTCATAATCAGTCACTGATAGAACGCCACAAGTTACTGATTCAACATTATCAGTTACTGATGCTGCTAATCAGTTCTTTTTCTTAAGGTTCCTCTTAAGACAAACTCTAAAATTACAATTAATTCTACCATTTTAATTATTTGAGTTTTCCATAGAAAAATAATATTACTTTGTATTTTTCTATCAATCGGCAAGTCATCTCCTCATCGAACTCCGGAAAGATGATCGCCTTGGTGCCTTGACAGATCCCGTTGAAGTTCATTATTACCCCACTCAACCAACAAAGAAAAGAGTACCAAAGTGTTGGCACATTAGCCATAGTCATAATGTTTTGCTGACTGGCAATTATCATAGCGTAGTTAGACAATTCAATGCCCTTTGGCATCCCTGTGGTGCCCGAGGAGTGCATGATGCACGCCGTCTTCTTCACATTGTCGAGCTCGAGGTAACGAAATTTTGCCACTTCCGCATCGTTGCAATTTTTCAGGATATCAGAGAAAGATATCGCGCCGATATGCTTGCCAAAAACCACCACCGTGGAATTGTAATTGTGCTCCTTTACCACACTCAAGACAACATTCACGGATTTCTCGCTGCAGAATATCATCTTCGGCGTTGTTATTTGCAAACAGTACAGCACAGTTTCTGATGGCAAATAGTTCATAAATAATAAAAGGTGCAAATTGGAAATACATATACATATAAAATTAATGTATGATCTAAACACATTGAATAATTTTTAAAATATTTGTAATGGCAAGCAAAACTTGTTAGGATCAAAGCAGTATAGTTTTTAGTCATAACACATTTCATAGCAATATCAGTATATTCTTGAACAGCTTCATCAAGATCATGTAAAGATCACTTTGAAATTTTTTAATGAAATTCTCTTTTTATTTCACGTTTTTGTGGCTTAACTGAAAAGCCTTCGAAAACGTCGTAAGTACATATATACATACACACAGACATTTTCTTAAAAATGCGTTTTCTAATCAATTGACCGAATTGAATATAATGTGGAAACATTTTTCATAATAACTTTTGTAAAAAAACTTACGTAAATCCATGTTCTCATCCCACGGATTGAAAATTGCGTTGATATAAGCCGCTGACAGACAAGGCACGATGGAATTAAGATGATTACCAGTACATAAACTGATAACGTCGCCAGATTTAATTCCTTGGTTTTGCAGCCACAATGCACATCTTACAACTTTATCTTGCAATTGTGCGTATGTGACCGTTTCTTCAGTGCAAGCGTCTACCTGCAAGTAATATTATTAGAAATAATGTTTTCAAACTTACAAAAAATTAGTTATATTACAGAGTCAGAGTTTTGCAATCAAAAGAATAACTTATTATTCTGCCGAACATCTATTTTTCATTAACAATGTAATAAAATTAAATAATATGTAAGTATTGCAGAACTGCAATTATTGGAATGAATTTTTAAGGGATTTTACTTAACCGTTTTAGCATCTTTTAGCTTAATTTCTTTTTAGAAAGGCCTATTAAATCATATAAGTCTGGGATAGTATACCCAACTGATACCCTTAAGGGTATCAGTTATTTAATGATTTCTTAATTATAATCTTTTATAAGAATAAAAATGATACAGTTTTATTTTAAATATTGAAGATAAATTAAGCAAGTTATTGCTCGTATTAGGATTCCGTAATTATTGTAAACTGTAATTTTATAAACTTACGTGTGCAATTTTGTCCCCATGGTTGTTAATGGTAATCCACATTATTTCCCCTAAACTTTTGTAATGAGTCAAATGCTTTATTTGGCCCTTGTAAACGCCATTTTCTATGATAAAATTCTGGAAACAACAAATGTACATGACAATTACAATTGCTTATCGCAATGATTTTGCACTATGTGTCTTTAACCCATATGTTTTACATCATACATTTATGATTTTTCAGATGCAGCATAAAAAGATTAATCACGTAGAAAGATCGACTGCTCTAGCACTTACCTTTGATTCACTGTCAACCATTTTGTTAGAAATAATATCCAGTCTCAGAATGTAAATGTAAAACTTTAAATGCGGTCTAACAATGTCGTCCTACAAAACTGCGATAAATGAAGCATTTCATTAGACAAATATAACAGTCCAAGGTGTCAGATTTAAAATAACAAAAATAAAAAGGCTAATAAACCCAAGCTAGATAACACAAGCGCGCGACATTTGCTCTCTCTAAACATTCGCATAGTTTGACAGCTGCAAATAACACGACTGAAGCATGAGAAGGATTTCATAAATGTTTTAAATGAGAAACACATGGAAAAGCTGCATCACCATTTATCACAAAAGATATCTTAAAGTAATTCAGTATTTAAAAAAATATTTGCCGAATACGTTAATACGACACAAATTTCCCGCTTTTCTTTTATGCAAACAACAAAAAGCTCCGTACTCTATAAGATGCGCCAAAGAACTAAAATGACGTTCTAGAGCAGTAACTATTTGTACGCAGGACAAGGTCTAAACCAGTTACGAGATTTCAGTGTCATTTGTTATTTAGATAGCATAGGATTTGTGGCAACGCTATTATTGCCTATACTTACCTTATCTTCTTATGTATAAGAAAAACAATAAATATTTAACAAATACTAAGTGAACAAAAGTAAGTACTTAAAAAGTAATTATTTAAAAGCCATTATTGCACACGGCTGCCAAATTTAGTCAATCATTGTAAACGTACCTTTATCACTGTGCAATGTACCGTGCCTGAACGCGCGAACTTTAGACTACCTGATTTGTCTATTATAAATGCTTCCCATTTGAAAAGTATTATAGCCTCGACATTTTCGTATTAGGATTTTCGTCTTACTTTTTGCTCAAAAATACGTTATTAAAATTTCGGTCACGAATTGCGGTACACCCTGTATATGTATATTTACGTTGAAATTCCTGAATAACTTTTTAAATATCCAAGATAGAAAAAAATGTTAAACACTAAAGTTGTATCGTTTTTAGTGGCGCATTTCATAGTAATATCAGTATGACCTTGAATAGCTTTATCAAAGTTATCTAAAGATCACCTTGAAATTTTTATATGGAACCCTTATTTTTCATTACATATTCTTGTAGCTTATTTCAATAGCTTTCCAAAACGCTATAATAAAGTATGTTTTCGTTAAGTACTTTTTGAGTTATGAGGTTTGAAAGTTACGGTACCGCCAGCATTATCCGTGAATAACTTTTAAAATTTCCAAGATAGGATTTGAACATCACCTCTGATGTTCCACTTACAATTAGTTGTGTCACATATACAACACAAACACACACACGCGCGCGCGCGCGCACGCACGCACGCACTCACGCATGCACGCACGGACATTATTAAAACGGGGGGGGAAAAAAGGTGCAAATTGGAAATTTGCACATTGCTTCCTCATCATGTAGCCTTTTTTTAATTTTAAAGGAGCAAATTGGAAATTTGCAAAATGCAACATCAGCATTTTGGCAAGTTGTCTATTCATTTTTTTTTTAAAGGTGCAAATTGGAAATTTGCACATTGCTTCCTCAACATCTGGATTATTTTTTTTATCTTAAAGGTACAAATTTTAAATTTGCAAAACGTAGCATCAGTATTTTGGCAAGTTGTCTATTCAAATTTGGCTTCCTCATAGAGGAAGCTTTGTGAGTTAATGTGCAAATTAAAAATTTGGACATTGCCCATTCTAACTTGTAAAAATGCAAATTGGAAACTTGGACATTACTTCGTCATCATGAAGGCAAGTGATTATTAAAAATTTGGGCAACCTCATAGAAGAGGCTTTATGAGTTAAGGTGCATTTTGAAAATTGCTTACTCCAGAATTTTTATTTTCACACAAAGCTTTCTCCATGAGAAAGCCATATCCAAGTTTCTAATTTTCCTCCTCTTCGCATATATGTTTCTGGCTTTCCAATGTTTTCTACATTATAACGCTATAACATTTGATACAATTTACATTTTTATTGCATAATAATTTTCGTAAAATACTTTTTCCAAATCTTACTGCTATTATAATAGTAACAAAATAAATTGCAATCTATTATTATAACATTAATCAGGCATAAACATTCTTATTTTTCAGTTTTCTCTTTATATATTTAAATACTACGTGATTCTTAAATATTATATAATATATACAACTAGTTAAAAGCTAATTTTGTGTTGATTCTGAACTTTTCAGCAAGATTTACAATTTTAGAAGATTAAGTCACTAGAAAAAATATTTTAATACTAGTAATAACGCACGTTTATAATATCTATCATTTTCAAGTAACGTGCGATTATATATGTATACAACTTTTGTATTATTAGGAAAAAATTTAATGAATTAGTTATCGTGCTTTACCAGTTTCTTTGCCATTGACTGTAAATCTTTTTTTGAAATTTTCGCTGTACTCGTATATGGTAATCTATCTAAAAATATCACTCCTGCACGTAGCTTAAAATGATCCAGCATGTTCTTTGCCACAAGATCTACCAATTCCTGTTCCGTCACCTGTACAAAGAAAATAAACTAATGTATCGGGCAGATTTTATTCTGTAAACTTTTGTCTACAAAATCTCTCTTTTTCTCTCTCTTTCTCCTTCTCTCTTCGATCTTATTATACTTGATTTTAAAAAAAATTTACTTTGGCGCCAGACTTTATGGTGACGAAAGCAACAGGATGTTCGTCATCTGTTGCATGAGGTACTCCTACTACTGCAGCTTCCAGTACTGCTGGATGCGATGTTAAGACATTCTCGATTTGTCCAGGAGAGATTTGATATCCTCTGTACTTTATAAGATCCTTTATTCGGTCCATAATGAACAATTCTCCGTCGTCATCAACATAACCGATATCACCCGAGTGCATCCATCCTATAAATTGTTCAGAGAATTTACTTTTATATTAGATTTTTGCGATAGATTTAGGTACATTTTATTCGATTTAATAAAATATAATTAATTTGGTTTGCTCGCTATAATTATATTAATCCTTATTAATTTACTGTAATGTAATTGTGTATTATTATGATTATTACGACAGATAAAATCTCTTTACCTTCCTTATCAATCGTAGTTTTTGTCGCCTCGGGATTTTTGTAATAACCTGTCATAATGCTCGGTACTTTTATACATACTTCTCCTGACTGATTTGGACCAAGTATCTTCCCGCTTTCTGGGTGCACTATCTTTATTTGCACATTCTTGCTTACTGTTCCGCAAGATCCGCATTTACTACTTGCTAGTTGCAACGTTGCAATATTACCAAGTTCCGTCATTCCTAAAAATATGAAATATATACAGACAAAATTTTACAAGATCTAAACATAATATTAATATTTCATCGCATTATAATGATATTCACCGTAACATTGCGATATCTGGACGTGTGGCAAAATACGTCCGAGACTATCCTGCACTTGTGGTTTAATTATTGAACCAGAACTCAAAATGATTTTCAAAGATAAAAATGAATATTCCTTTACGTAATCCGATTTGAGCAACCGACTGATCATGCTCGTACTAAGGAAAACAGCTTGTATCTAGACAGTAAAGTGTGTATTTCAAATTTCACCAGTTCTGTTAAACATTTTTTATAACAATGTATATATATTACACAAGTATTTGATTACTATTGTTGTTTGTGTAACAATAATGTAAAACTATTACAATTGATTATTGACTGTTACAAACGTACTAATTAAGAAACAGAACTGATTAACAGTATCAGTAACCAATGATATTGAATCAGTGAATTGTAGCGTTCTCAGTGACTGATTACAAGAGTTAGTTACTGGTAATGTTCCTCAGTCGATGTCCAGTTTTAATAATCAGTTTCTACATCACTCTGAAAAACTAGTTACACAATAATTGTTATCATCGGTAACTAAATACAGATAATACTTAGTTAATACTGTAGATAATACTATAGATAATACTTAGTTAATACTTAGACAATACTGATCAGCACTTAGTTACTGATGATAACAATCATTGTCTAACCAGCAGAGTTGTAAATTCGGCTCAGTTCGGTTTACATCCCAAGTTCCAAATAATTTACTCCGTAAATTCATCCGGTTCGGAGCGGTTTTTAAATTCGAATCGGTTCAAAACCGCTCCAAAGAACGTATTTTTGCTCCGGTTTACAACCCTGCTAACCAGTTTTTTAGAGTGATATAGAAACTGATCATTAAAACTTGACATTAACTGAGTAACATTACCAATAGCTGGCTCTCATAATCAGTCACTGATAGAACGCCACAAGTAACTGATTCAACATTATCAGTTACTGATGCTGCTAATCAGTTCTTTTTCTTAAGGTTCCTTTTAAGACAAACTCTAAAATTACAATAAAATTCTACCACTTTAATTATTTGAGTTTTCCATAGAAAAATAATATTACTTTGTATTTTTCTATCAATCGGCAAGTCATCTCCTCATCGAACTCCGGATAGATGATCGCCTTGGTGCTTTGCCAGATCCCGTTGAAGTTCATGATTATCCCAGTCATCCAACAAAGACAAGAGTACCAAAGTGTTGGCACATTAGCCATAGTCATAATGTTTTGCTGACTGGCAATTATCATAGCGTAGTTAGACAATTCAACGCCCTTTGGCATCCCTGTGGTGCCCGAGGAGTGCATGATGCACGCCGTCTTCTTAACATTGTCGAGCTCGAGGTAACGAAATTTTGCCACTTCCGCATCGTTGCAATTTTTCAGGATATCGGAGAAAGATATCGCACCGACATGCTTGCCAAAAACCACCACCGTGGAATTGTAATTGTGCTCCTTTACCACACTCAAGACAACATTCACGGATTTCTCGCTGCAGAATATCATCTTCGGCGTTGTTATTTGCAAAAAGTACAGCACAGTTTCTGATGGCAAATAGTTCATAAATAATAAAAGGTGCAAACTGGAAATACATATACATATAAAATGAATGTATGATCAAACACATTGAATAATTCTTAAAATATTTGTAATGGCAAGCAAAACTTGTTAATATCAAAGCAGTATAGTTTTTAGTGATAACACATTTCATAGCAATATAAGTATATTCTTGAACAGCTTCATCAAGAACACGTAAAGACCACTTTGAAATTTTTTAATGAAACTCTCTTTTTATTTCACGTTTTTGTGGCTTAACTAAAAAGCCTTCGAAAACGTCGTAAGTACATGCATACATACACACAGACATTTTCTTAAAAATGCGTTTTCTAATCAATTGACCGAGTTGAATATAATGTGGAAACATTTTTCATAATAACCTTTGTAAAAAAACTTACGTAAATCCATGTTCTCATTCCACGGATTGAAAATTGCGTTGATATAAGCCGCTGACAGACAAGGCACGATGGAATTAAGATGATTACCAGTACATAAACTGATGACGTCGCCGGATTTAATTCCTTGTTTTTGCAGCCACAATGCACATCTTACAACTTTATCTTGCAATTGTGCGTATGTGACCGTTTCTTCAGTGCAAGCGTCTACCTGCAAGTAATATTAATAGAAATAATGTTTTCAAACTTACAAAAAATTAGTTATATTACAGAGTCAGAGTTTTGCAATCAAAAGAATAACTTATCATTCTGCAGAACATCTATTTTTCATTAACAATGTAATAAAATTAAATAATATGTAAGTATTGCAGAACTGCAATTATTGGAATGAGTTTTTAAGGGATTTTACTTAACCGTTTTAGCATCTTTTAGCTTAATTTCTTTTTAGAAACGCCTATTAAATCATATATGTCTGGGATAGTATACCCAACCTTAAGGTGCTTATTTAATGATTTCTTAATTCTAATCTTTTATAAGAATAAAAATGATACAGTCTTATTTTAAATATTGAAGATAAATTAAGCAAGTTATTGCTCGTATTAGGATTCCGTAATTATTGTAAACTGTAATTTTATAAACTTACGTGTGCAATTTTGTCCCAATGGTTGTTAATGGTAATCCACATTATTTCCCCTAAACTCTTGTAATGAGTCAAATGCTTTACTTGGCCCTTGTAAACGCCATTTTCTATGATAAAATTCTGGAAACAACAAATGTACATGACAATTACAATTGCTTATCGCAATGCTTTTGCACTATGTGTCTTTAACTCATATGTTTCACATCATACATTTATGATTTTTCAGATGCAGCATAAAAAGATTAATCACGTAAAAAGATCGACTGCTCTCACTTACCTTTGATTCACTGTCAACCATTTTGTTAGAAATGATATCCAGTCTCAGATTGTAAATGTAAAACTTTAAATGCGGTCCAACAATGTCGCCCTACAAAACTGCGATAAATGAAGCATTTCATTAGACAAATGTAACAGTCCAAGGTGTCGCATTTAAAATAACAAAAATAAAAAGGCTAATAAACCCTAGACAACACAACCTAGAGTACACACTTGCTACTACTTGCTACTAAATAAACCTAGACAACACAATCGCGCGACATTTGCTCTCTCTAAACATTCGCATAGTTTGACAGCCGCAAATAACACGACTGAAGCATGAGAAGGATTTCATAAATGTTTTAAATTAACAAATTAAAATTGTCTCTAAAAAATGTGCATGTATGTGTATTAGATATATAAAGAGATAATTTTTTTGAAAAAGTCAATTTATATTATTAATATAATTAAAGTGGGATTCACCCAACACGATTTTAACTGTTTATTAATTTTTGTGTGTTTCAGTACTCAAAGAAATGTTAATTAAGAAATGTATCTAATAGTTATGCTAAATAGTAATAAATTTGTTTAAATGTATAAATTTTATTTATCGATAACAATTAAATTTCAGTATTATTCATAAAAAGTAAATTTTTATCAAAATAAAATTTTCATGCGTTATTAAAGCAATGATGGTTTTGCTACATAGTGTTTCCTCTTTATGCAGTCGCATAAATGCTGATTTATTGCATCACATTCTCAATGACACTTATAATAGCTGCTGACCTTGAGAGCAAATCATTTGAAACCTAGAATTGAATTATGATGAGTTAAAATAGAGAAAAATTTTGATATACATATATCTCTTTAAAAAAACAATAAAAAATATTTTTATATCGTTATTTATTTTATCTGGCAGGTGTATATAATAATTGCTGACCTTGAGAGTGACTGCAAATTATTTGTAAATCTAGAATTGAATTATGATGAGATAAAATAGAGAAAAATTATGATATATATCTCTTTTAAAAACAATAAAAAAACTTGATATCGTCATTTATCTTATCTGACAGATGTATCTACGTAAGTGTAGACAATAACGTCAAGGTAGTTCGATCGACCGTTCTATCATGAGACACTACGTGTCTCGCACCAAGTATAAGCGTAGCTAGAACCGTGCGCGTGAGACCGACCGTGTAGTTTACGCGAGTACGCGAATTGACAGGCCCTCAGATTTTCTTATACTTGACAGTACTATTAAAGCGACAGTACTATTAAAGAGTATAGTCCTACAATGCATTATAAAAGTAATTTGAAAGGAAAAGTCGAATATCTCCCTAATTAATTGTGCAAATTTTTCGTTGAGATTATCTAAAGACAGTAGATAACGTACACATAAAAAAGTGACTCATCTCAATAAATACATACTAATATAATGATAATACATCTACATATTTCCACATTTTTTAGTTCAATTGTTCGTATTTATAATAATGGTTCAGATTGTAACATTTAGATGTCTATATTTTCAAAACCGCATCGTCAAAATTTTTTCAATCTTTGTATTAAGTCAAAGCATTAGTGTTAATTTTATAACATAAACGCATTTATTAAACACAATTACAAAAGCACATAAAATCTAAATTTAACAATATTATGAATAATCTGGACCTGCATAATCCTCTTTTGTATCGTCTCTAGTAAGCCGTACACATTCATTATTTAAATAGCACTTGCTACTAATTGTATGTATAATAAAATTAATGTGCATATCGACATTCTATTCTCGTTGCACGCTTTGCAATATCAACAATGGTTCATTTTCGTCGAACTATTTTTATTTTCTTTAAACTGAAAACCTTTTTTCTGGCAAACTGATTTTAATATGTGTTATTGATAGCCGCGTGATTAAAAATTACTTACTAACAATAACATTGAGAAACACATGGAAAAAGCTGCATCACCATCTATCACAAAAGATATCTTAAAGTAATTCAGTATTTAAAAAAATATTTGCCGAATACGCTAATACGACACAAATTTCCCGCTTTTCTTTTATTCAAACAACAAAAGGCTCCGTACCCTATAAGATGCGCCAAAGAACTAAAATGACGTTCTAGAGCAGTAACTATTTGTACGCGGGACAAGGTCTAAACCAGTTACGAGAATTCAGTGTCATTTGTTATTTAGATAGTATAGGATTTATGGCAACGCTATTATTGCCTATACTTACCTTATCTTCTTATGTATAAGAGAAGCAATAAATATTTAACAAATACTAAGTGAACAAAAGTAAGTACTTAAAAAGTAATTATTTAAAAGTCATTATTGCACACGGCTGGCAAATTTAGTCAATCATTGTAAACGATGATACTTAAATACAGATAGAAACACTACAAACTGTCCTTTTTAACTATAAAAAAACATTTTAAACTTATAGAAGATGCACAATACCTTACAAATGTCTAGATATCCAGTGCAAAAGGAAAGAATAAAGAAATTTGAACACAAGAATCCGTAACTTCGATTGTAAGGACGGAGAATATTACGTATCTGACAGATAGAAAAGTTCTCCTATACTACGCGAAGATCGTTCTTTCTGATCAACATTCAGCAGGCAAGTGAATAATGATACACTTATGACGTTGTTAAAAGTGCATTGCACACATTTACGCATTACGTATCGCACGATATCTTTAGAGTGACATCTATGACATCCTCCTCTCAAAAACGTAAAACTTTTACATATTGCGCAAAGCATAAACCTTGCAACGTCACTGTTTTTACTGAAGCAATCATAATATGCATTATTCAATGTTTCCTGATCTTATCTTAGAAAAACAGGAAAAATTGTCTGAAATTGATATGGAATGTATCTGGTTTTAATTCTATATTTGATGCATATTTATAATTTTGTGTTTTATAATTTAAGAAGTTAAATTTTAAAATAAGAAAAATATATTTGTGTATATACATATTATAGACCGTATATGTATAAAAATGAGGAAATTGTGCTTTTAGAATTTCACGAAATCTGATTACAGGTTATTTTTAATTTCAAAATTAATTAAGTTATAAAAATGTAAAAACGCAATTTTATCGCAAACAAAAGAGGACCGCCGATAAGAATTCGGCGGGGGCGGCGGAGGGCCTCTTTAGATTAACTTTTCTATTTCTATGATGGAGCCAACAGATGATGTCTATTAATTTAGAAGAAATTTCACTATCTCATATACGGAGCCTATCTCATAATAGGGGATTTTCCTCTTTTAATTTCAGAAGAGGGATTAATTTACAACTAGTAAGAATATTCTTAAAGTCGCCAGAAGTAATTAATAAATTAATAACATCAGTGATTTTTGTTGACCGTATCTGGCAATTAAAATTCTTATTGCGAAAAATATCCTGGCTGGGGTAATATTTTTCGCAATAAGAATTTTAATTGCCAGATACGGTCAACAAAAATCACTGATGTGATTAGTTTACGTCTATATTATACATATGTATGTAGGTATATATCTTTATATGTATACTGTTCTATATGTATATATCTATTATATATATTTTTATTGATAAAATAATGTATGATTATACATATTTATACATTTTAAAATCTTTGTGAAAGAATATAATCGTGTAATTAATTAAAGTGCTTTAGTTTCTTAGCCATTTCTTTCAAATCTTTTTGTGAAATTTTTCCTGAACCTGTATATGGAAAACTATCCAGAAATATGACTCCTCCACGTAGTTTACAGTGATCCATCATATTCTTTGCTATAAAATCTATCAATTCCTGTTCCGTCACCTGTAGAAAAGAAATTGAATAATCAGAAAAGATTATTTTTAAAATATATATAAATCACTTTGTATTTTGTATTAAAAAAGTAATACATAAACATAATGGCACTCTTTCAAAAAACATAAACACCCAATAACGTTTAATTTAATTTATGTGAGATAAGAAAATAGACATTACAATATTGTTTGTATGTACATGCGTAAAATATTACAAAATTTTGACCATAAAAATTTATTAGAAGGTTTATTATGAAACTTTTATTTTTACTAATATTATTTTTATATCAGACTGTTTTGTCACAAAAAATACCAGTCAAAAACACTAGCTAAGACATAGATATTTTTTCTAAAAATTCTTTTTCTTCGTGATTGCTTCATATGTTAATCGAATCCTTACTTGTTTAAATAGATTTAGGTATAAATCGCTGATTTTGAATTAACTAGCAAATTTTTTCACTTGCCGTTAAAAATTTTTTATTGCATTAACTTTGTTTTCATAAGCACGATTCTCTTTTTGTCAGTTCGCTATTATTCAGATATCCGATTTTATTTTGTAAACTCTTATTTTATTTTTATTATATTACAAAACAAAAAATTGTACCTTGGCGTCAGGCTTTTTGGTGACATAAGCAAGAGGGTGTTCATCATCTACGTCGTGAGGTATTCCTATTACTGCAGCTTCTAATACTGCTGGATGTGTTAATAAAACACCTTCAATTTCTCCGGGTGAAATCTGATATCCTCTATATTTCATGAGTGCTTTTATCCTGTCGACAATGAACAATTCTCCATCCTCATCAAAATAACCGATATCACCCGTGTGTAACCATCCTAAAAGAGTCCGAAATTTATTTTTCTTATTTTAGAAACATATTTAATGGAATACATTATTTGGTTAGCACGTGTCAATTAATTAACTCATATGTATTCAGTTTTAATTGTTGTTATTATTAATTACAACAGATATCTAGTCTCTTTACCTTCCTCATCAACAGTACTTTTGGTTGCCTCGGGATTTCTATAATAACCAGTCATCATGCCTAAAGCTTTTATCTGTATCTCACCCGATTGATTCGGACCAAGCACTTTTCCACTTTCTGGGTCCACTATTTTTATTTGTACATTTTCAACCACTGTTCCACAAGATCCGTTCTTGTGATGTGATTTTTGTATTGTTATAGCACCACCGATTTCCGTCATTCCTAGAAACATAAAGAATATAATTAAACTTTTATTACACAACACACATCAATATACATGTACATTAATGCTTTATCACATTATAACGATTTTTACCATAAGCTTGTAACAACTTGACGTGCGGTAAACTACGTTTCAATTCTTCCTGTACTTTTGCCTTAAGTGTTGAACCGCCGAACATGATGGTTTTCAAAGATGATAAAGAATACTTCTTTATACAACCCGCTTTAAGAAGCCGATTGATCATGCTAGTACTAAGGAAACTAATTCCTACCTAGATAATGAAAAAATTTAAACTTTTGAATTCCGTCATATTATGCCCAAATAACTAATTACACGTAAATATAAAACTAAGTATTAAATTTATAATATAAATAAATAAACTTGATCATGAACGACTATTATGCTATATTCTTTCTTAATTATACTATTGTAATTAATTACGCTGTGTAATTTGGACTTATCTTGATTGCAAGATATTATTGTGTGAACAAATATAAAATGATTAATTGTCCATTATATTATCATGTAATTTGCGGTTAATTCATCAAAATGTAATTAGTTGCCACAAATATATTTCATGTATGGACAAGTTTTGATAAAAAAGTGATTGCATTATTCTAATAATAACAAATTATTCCAATAATAAATTGAGCTATCAGTTATAAGCTCAAAGTGATAACATTACAGTCTGCTTAGTTCACTTTATATTCTTTTCAACTTTGTCATAGAATTCGCAAGAGAATAAAAATCATTGTGATTACTTTGTATTTCTCTATCAGTTGACAAGTTTTCTCCTCGTCAAATTCTGGATAGAGGATAACTCTGCTACCAGATGCGATCGCATTGAAGTTCATCATTATCCCACTCAGCCAATAAAGAGAAGAAAACCAAATTGATGACGTGTCTTGCATGTCCAAAGTGCTTTCCTGGCTGAGACGTATTATAGAGTAGTTAGCTAGTTGGACACCTTTCGGCATTCCCGTAGTGCCTGACGAGTGCATGATGCACGCTGTCTTCTTAATGTCGTCGAGCTCGACGTAACGGAATTTCGCTACTTCCGCATCGTTGCAATTGTTGAGAATATCGGAGAACGAAATTGCGTCGGCATGCTTGCCAAAAACCACCATTGTGGAACTGTAATTCGTCTCTTTTAGCGCCCTCGAGACGACATCCACAGATTTCTCACGACAGAAGATCACCTTCGGTGTAGTTAGTTGCAAAATGTGTATAGCCGTTTCTGATGACAAATACCTCCGAATTAATAAAGAAATAAACACTATACTAAAATTATTGTATATTTAAACAATACAAAATTATATTTAACTATCGCAAGATAGATATAATTCTGTTTGCGCGAATTGTTATCGAATGAAAATAAATTATATCTAATCCGCCAATTTAATTAAATACAAAATGTGGAAAATAGAAATATTGGGCAATCGAGGAGAACTCACTTAAGTCCATGTTCTCGCTCCACGGATTAGAGATTGCAGTGATATAAGCTGCAGAAATACAGGGCACAATGGAGTTGAGATGATTATGCGTGCATATACTGATAACGTCGTCCGATTTGACTCCTTGTTTCTGCAGCCACAATGCACATTTCACAACTTTATCTTGCAGCTCCGCGTATGTTATTGTTTCTTCGGTGCATGCATCCACCTATACAAGATTATTATAAAAAGTTCCGTGAACACAAGGAAGTTACAGTGCAACATTGTTGATTCATTAATTCGTGATAAAAGATTTCCTCTTGATCTGAACGAATCAGCAATATAAGCTTTCCTTGATATCGCGATATTAAAACAAAATTAAATTTAACAAAATTATTGGGTAAAATTGGAATAATTTTTTATCAGTTTTTAAGAAATTTAATCTAAATCTATTTTGTTTCCTTCAGGTTAATATTTTTTTTAGAAATATCTATTAAATTGTACCAAGAAATTTGCTGAAACAAAAACAATTTCATGTTATTACTTTTTTGTAATTACTTTATACATATAATAAAATTAAAAATTAAAAAATTATATTTTTTACAATGTTGAAATAGAAGTTTTATTATTTAGAGTACTGTTGTGTTGGGATTAATTCCGCAATAATTTAAAAATTGCAATAAAAATTTGCTTTTTCCACGTCTTGTTTATATTTCTATATCTATCAGGTGAGCAAAAAAGTTCTGAGGTTTTTTTGCAAAATTCAATCTTTATTCAAAAACAAAGAAAAAAATATTAATCATTGAAATATTCGATGACCTTTTGCCATCTTTCGGGTAGCTTGCGAATTCCTTGACGGTAGAAGCTCACCAGCTTCGAAACGATAAGTAAACGATAAAGTCATCAATGCATTTTCGTATCTCTTCAAGTCTCACGAAATGTGTATCAGCCAAGTGATGCTGCAGCGACCGGAATAGGTAGCACTCGGAAGACTCCATGTCTGGACTTATATTTACGCCGCGTACGGGAGTCATTCCCAGCCTAATGCAAAGATATGGTCTGAGTCGCTTTCGCAACATGTGATCGGGCATTGTCATGAAGCAGGATCTCACTTTACGACGTCCTTGGCTAGTAAATGGCCTCTTTTCTTCTAACGCATCACTCAAATTGGTCAATTGTTGTTGAAAGCAATCTGCCGTGATTGTTTCACCCGGCTGTAACAACTCGCAATGAAACACATCTTTCAATCCCACAAAATGCAGAACAAAACCTTCTTGGCGTGGATATTAGGCTTTGGCGTCGATGTCGAAGGTTGACCAGGGTCAACCCATGATTTTTTATGCTTGGAGTTATCATAAAAATCCACTTTTCATTGCCTGTAATGATTTTGTGCAGAAAATCTTTTTTTCCGAAACTTTGGAAGCAAAGTGAGTGAAGTGTCACGCCGTCAATTTTTCTTGTCTTCGGACAGTTTATGCGGAACCCATCTGCCCTCCTTCCGAATCTTTCCCATGGCATGTAAACGTACGGAAATGGCTTGTCGCGTAACGCCAAGTTGCTCTGCAAGCTCCTTTTCAGTTTACGCAGAGTTTATATCCAATTCGTCCGTTTCAATCTCTTGAGGGCGTCCAGCACGCGATTTATCTTCAAGACTGAAATCTCCTTGGCGAAATTTTTGATACCATCTTTTACACGTAGCATGACTTACAGCGTTCTCTCCATATGCAGCACAAATCATTTCAGTGGCTTCAGCAGCATTTTTCTTCAGATGAAACACGAAGTGGATGAAAAATCGAATACGCTCTTTCGTTATTGCCATCGTGAACTCTACTGATTTTTGAGATTATGTGCATCAAACACCAAACCGCATAGCATTTTAAAAGGCCAAATGTCAACGCTTTAAAACCGCAAAAGGGAGGGAAGATAAATAAAATTTTATCACATTGTTGTTTCGGTTGTATGAAATTTAAAGCTCAGAACTTTTTTGCTCACCTAATACAATATTAAACTTCACTGCTATCTATTTGCTAACATAAACATATTATATTGCCTAAAATATTGCTTTGATGGTTAATTGTTTCTTACAGAAAAGCATTAACAACATATATAGAAAAATTAACATCGTTATAAAGCATATCAAGACCATATTTTGTCAAGAATGTTTTCTACTTGGTATTCAATATTAAAATATTTTAATTAACGTGTGTCTTCTACTATACATACATACGCATTCTCCTTTAACACTGCTTGTTTATTTCATGTTTTTGGTAAAACAAAATGTTATGTAATTTATCAATATGTATCATATAAAGAAATTGAAGAGCAATTGCAATAAGTTTTATCTTCATTATTGTTAATATCACGTTTCTGAAATTCTAGAATATGATTTTATTAAACCTTTATTTAGTGAAACATTTTATAGGCTTTGAAAGTTTAATTCTTTTTTCCTATATAAACAATCCTATGCATATATCTTGATATTACATATTTAAATGTTGACTCACGTGTGCAATTAAATTCTCATTACGTTTAATGTTAACCCATAACATTTCTCCGACACTTTTGTACTTATTCACTTTATGCGTCTCTTTCCCCTTGTAAACGCCATTTTCCAAGGTAAAATCCTGTAAATAACATAAATGTCAGATATTTTAATTATTTATTGCAACGCCTTTGAACTAAGAGTTTTTAATACATTTATGACTATTTCTTCAGATGTGATATAACAAGATTTTAATTGATCACATTATGATTGTTTTTGCACCTACCTTTGAGTCATGTTCAGCCATTTTATTCGAAATAACTAAGTCTGCCAGCGGTAAATGTGAGATTCTCAGAATGCGATCTAATATAATTATCCTACAATTCTGCATTATAAATAAACGTTATGTAGTTGTTTTACATAAATAATCTAAAATTATGACTACTAACGAGCACAAGGTACATATATATATAAGTAAATATGTTGGAAACATATTAATTGAAATATTGATATACATACAGGGTGTTTGATTCGATATGGACGACCCCAAAGATTATAGTAGATTGGGTTAAACTGAGAAGAAAAGTTATATAAAATTTTACAAAATCGTAATTATTATCGGCCGAATTCAGAAAAACGTCTGAGCCAATAAGGCCGGACTCGTCAGCATGCAAAATGGTGTGTTTGTTGACATCTCTGAAAAATCGATAGCGAGAGGTGGAGTCACGCATCGATCGATGCG